TTATCAAATAAGCCAAACTTTCAAAGTCTGAGGGCACACTTACTTAAAAAAATAAACTAAATGAATGGTTTCAAATTACGAAACTAGTCTTTTTTTCTTTCTTTCTTTTTCAAGCAACAATTCCTATCATTCTGGTTTTCAAAGCCATTGTCTCTTTGTTTTGCTGCAATACTCCAGGCTAAGAGAGAAATTTCACAAAGTGTTGTAGTTTCACCATTCAGTCAGCATAGTCAGAGCTACCTATGAGAAAAATTATTCCAGTATTCTCACCTGCTACCAATCTCATTCCATATCCTGGCTCCATTTCCATGCCAGGGCAATCCTCTGTGTTGTGGCCTGAACAGGGAGACTGGTGCAGACTAAGGACTGTTACATGGGCTCAGTCCCTCCACGTGAGTCTTTCTCCTTGGGCTAACAATGTGTATGCATAGGTACATGAAGGAACAAGACTAGGAGTGAGTGGCTGAAGGAAAGGAGAATGTGGAAACAAATCTTTCTGTGGCAGCACTGGTACATACCGATATAAAATGATGGTGAAATAGTGCATGAGTCATCTGGCTGGTGTGGCATACCAGAAAAATGTGAGACTCTCTGTGCTTTTGCAGAGATATGAGTGGACTTCAGCCACCCACACGCTAGTGATTAAACAAAAAATTATTTTAAATCTCTGAAATTCTTTATGTCAATATAAATTCTCATCGCTGTTTTGGTCTGCCTGGCTTTTACTTTAACATTGATTTAATCATCGTGGTGTCCATTTGCAAAGATAAGGGTTTTTTAGTACAAGGTGCAATGAATCATTTCTGACTGTTGCATAGTTGGCATTCCCCTATATTCCCTGTAAGACAGTGAATGAAATCAGGTGGGTTTTGTAAAATTCCCTTTTCATTTGTGCATGGCATGAAACAGGATGTCACTGGAGCCACCTGTGAGCACCGTGCTGTACTGTGCTATTGCTGCTGCGGTGAAGCATGTTCACACAGTTGCACAGGCTGCTGGGGAAGTCCTGCAGTGAGGTAACAGCCTTGCTGTATTGCAGTACTTTTCTGTCCCTTCAGCTTGAGTCATGTTTCCAAGGCTGGCAAATGGACTTTTCCTTGGAAACTTTGTGAGAAGAACCTGGTCAGAACAAATTAGAAATCAGTGTAAGGTTTACTGTGTTTGTTTTGGTGCTCTTACTTGAGGGGAGGGAGAGATAGGGAGAGGGAGAGGAGGAGGGGGAGAGGGAGGGAGAGAGAGAGAAGGAGGGGGAGAGAGAGGGAAGGAGAGAGAGAGAGAGAAAGGAAGGGGTAAGAGAAGGAGGGGGAGAGAGACAGAGAAAGGGAGTTAGAGAGGGAGAGGGTGGGGAGAGAGAGAGAGAGCCAGGGTGAGTGTATATCACACCTTGCATTCTCCATTTGGAAGGGCAAGCCTGTGTGAAGTGCCTGCTTCTTTTTGCGTAGACCAACCTTTGTGTCATCATTGTACTGCATTGGTGGTCTGGCTTCTCTTGAGCAGCTGGACCCTGACTGCAGCTGTGCTCTACCTCATTTGCTGCTTAGAAAGAAAATACTCAATTTCTTCCTACAGTTAGCTAATGAGTAAGATATCTTTAGAGAATTGTGGATGAATCATCTTTTTATTACTGTATCTGAAGTAAGATCTGCATAAAATCCAGACAAATCCCAATCTTTAAAAGATCAGCATCCCTTAAATTGCCTGCTTTCTCTCTTTGTAGTGGGTTGATACTGGTTAGCCACCAGGTGCCCACCAAGCTGCTCTATCACTCCTCAGCAAGACAGGGCAGTAGGGGGAGAAAATGAGATGGAAAAAATCTTGTGAATCAAGAAAAAGACAGTTTATAAAAGCAAAAGCAAAGGCCATATGCAGGAGCAAAGTAAAAAACAAGCTATCTATTCTATACTTCCCATGGGCAAGTGATGTCCAGCCAGTTCCTGGGGAGCAGGGCCTCAGTATGCATAGCAGTTGCTCCAGAAGACAAAGGTCGTAATAATGAATGCCCCCACCCCCTGCTTCCTCTTAGCTTTTATTCTGAGCATGTGTCATATGGATGGAGTTATCTCTTTGGTCAGGTTGAGTCTGCTGTCCTGACTGTGTCTGCTCCCAGGATTTTGCCCACCCCCAGCCTACCGGTGAGGGGGAATGTTGAAGAGACAGTGCTGATGCTGTGCCAGCACTGCTCAGCAGTAGCCAAAATACGGGTGTGTTGCCAACACCTTTCTGCCTACCAATGCAGAGCACAGCACTGTGAGGGCTGCTGTGGGGAAAATTAACTCCATTTCAGCTAGACCCAATGCTCTCCTATAGTGTAAGTCTGTGGGTGTTAGAATAACCCTTTGTACTACGTGTGGATGTGGTAGCCTGTTGCTTACTTATTCCCAGGATTTGCCCTTCTCTATGTCCAGAGAGGATAAGAAATACAGCAACTCAAAAACTGCTTCTCAGGGAAGCAGATCTGAATCTTCTCTGTCATTCTTTATGTATTTTTTTTCTGGAAAGGAGCACTCTTGTGTGTTGCTGGGGAAATATGGATGGCAAGGAGTAAATGAACCGACCCTTAGGGATTTTTAGTCTGTCTGAGGTTTTTCACTAGAGTCTTCTATATTTGGTGACATTAATTAAACTTGGCCATTTGTCTTCTGCACTTGCTCTGCTATTAACTCCTCATCTCCCTCTGTGGATAAGTCTCCAGTGCCAACAAACCTTCTCTCCCTATTTTTCACCATTTACTTGTAGAGATGCAAAACAATTGAGCTGATCTGGGCGGCTGACAGGGGCATACTGTCTGTCAGGCATCTGTGAGAACAATCTAGGAGACATGGGCAGGAGGAGATGGCAGGAAAAGGTGGGGTGGCCGAAGGAATGACACTGAAAGGCTGCAGTGTCTCCCCAGCTCCAGAATTAAATCCCAGAGAGCTAGCAGCTGGGTTTCTGAGGGGTGCTGAGCCTATCCCAGTGCCTTGCAGCAGGACCCTTCTGGCAGCCCTGCACCATCTGCCCTGCTGGGAGAGAAGAGGGAGCCAAGCAAAGAGTGGGTAGAGGAGAGCGCAGACTCATCAAACTCCTCTGCTGCTTCCCCAGCTCATGCTGTAGTGTTCCCTCAACAAAGCACTCTACTCTGCCCATCTGTGAGAACCCGTCCCTTCAGGAACTGCTCTATAACTATTGTCACTTGAAATAAAATACCACTTCAAAAATTCACCACAAAGTGCCTGGTTTGTATTGAATTGAACCCATAAAGACAAGATTGCATGTACACTATAATTTATAAAAATATCTACTTGACTGTAACCATGTTCCTTCAAATAATATTGCCATTTGTTGGCACTGGGAAAATAACATTCTACTGGAGTGTTTACCACATGTTTTTAATCTGCTGCCATTTTCTTTTGTCTTTTGCATTTTCACTCGTCTTTGTCTCAAAGCTCTCCTATTTTACCTTCATTTGGTCTGCATGTGCTTTGCTTCTTTTCATCTTTCCCACATTTCAGACAGCTGTCCAGTGATGAATCACCTGATTCTGAACCATTGGGAAGTCACCTGGAAAGTATAAACCAGGCATAAGCCCAGAAGTTAAGAATTGTGTTGTTTGGTTTTGCACTTGTTTCTCCCCCCATCCCTGCCACTGCCTTTGCTAGTGACTTTTTTCCATGTCTTGGTGTCCCTGTCAGATGCCAATGAGAATATTTACTAATCTATAGAACATAGATAGAGATTGGGGCAGGGGGGAAGGGAAAAAAATTCACAAGTGCCAACAGTTTATTTTTGTTTGAGATGATAATTTCCTTGCCCACCTATTTGTCCTTCCTCAATAATAACATTTATTTAAGCCATGGAGGTATGAAAGGTCACATAAAAGGCATTGATTCCTATGGTGCTAGTCTGAGCCCTCTGTTGTCAATGTTCTCATCAGTGTGCTTTTGACTAGGACACCTCTGTTCTCCTGGAAGTTATGCCTGAAATTTTAACTTCTGAGAGAGGTATCCTTACTTCGTTTAGTTTGTACTCTTAATACAAATAATGCTTTTCCTAGTATAATTTGTCATAAGCATTCTGACTAGATTTGAAGTTAGTGATCAGTTGTTACTGCCTGGCAGCAATATATTTCTTGGACAAATAAATTCTTTCTTTTATTTCTTTATCTGAGGAAGAATTGTATATGCTGGATATGTTTTTGTTTGAGTGCTGAGGGGATGTTTTTTATTTAGACTTATATGTTGTCATGTGGCTACATGGGAAAAGGCAATATTACAAAAGTACTTGTTGAATTCTGAGCAAAAGGCATGAAATATGCAATTGTTTTGAGTTCCTATGAAAGATAATTTATAGCCTTGGACTGTGAAAACTCTGAGTGATAAATAAATTTTACTTGTCACTTGAAAGGTAATTTATGAAACTAGGTCAGTGCCCACCAAGATGGTGCAGAGTTCCTATGCCTATTAAATGCAGTCAGAAGTAAAAAGTAGACATCTTATTTAAGTGTCTGCAAAACACCACTAAATGTTTCCACAAGAATCAAAGGAGAAATTCCTGAAAATTTTATTATGTGTTTGTAGTCTGTTCTTCTCCTATGGGCTCTCAAACCTAAAGCAGTTGTGGTTTTCTTTCTGTTGGAAAAACTGGATGGATGCTGCTGTTGTGCTCAGTCACTGAATTACACGTGTAACCTAGTAAGAAAGTTCATTGGTTTGCTAGCCTTAAAGCCACGTGTTTCTCACCAACGGAGTGCTGTCTTTCTAAATGAATGTTTATTTAAATCTTGCTTGGATTTCAGAGATTCCAGAATTATTCCAGAGAAACTAAGTATGATGCTTATTTTACACTTGGAAATATTAAGAGCTAATAGTTATTTTAGGAAATAAGTAAGTTAAGATGTGAAGTGTGGCCACCAAGGTAAAGTGAGAGATTTAGACTTGTTTTCTTTTTTAAATAAAAATTAAATGAACTTTCTTTCTGTTAACCTTGTTATTCCCCTGTGATTATTTATTTATTTATTTCAGGAATTTGAGGCCTTTCAAGAATTTGTGGAAAATCGACTTCCATTTGATATTGTTGTTGATGGACTCAATGTTTCCCACATGAAATCCAGAAGGATGCAGTGTGAAAATGTAAGTGCTGGTTAAATATTCATCAAGAGCTTTGTGTATGCTGATTGTAAAGCAATAAGTACCTCATTACTAGTTATTCTCTTGAGAAATTGATCATTTTTGTGGCACATCACAATGAAGTTCAAAAAGTTATATAGGTTTCACAAATTAAAAATGATTAATGGGAAGATGTTTTTTTCTTACATATTAGACTGTATTTGCTGTAAAATGTCAGACTTAAATTTCCTCGTATATGCTATGGTTATAGTTACAGCTAAGGTGTTAATAGTAATATTGTTACAACATACACCATGTGTGTGTGTGAGTTTTTGTAGTAATAAGGATTTGGAGGAACCGAGTAAATCTGACATGTAGAAAATTTAGTCTAATATAGTTACGCTGGTAAGAGTTCTTAAAATAACCCCTTAGTTCAAACCACATCCTGTACACATTTAAACTTTGTTTCACTTCCTATTGCCTTGGGAATTTGGGTCCTGTTCATACAAGGACAGCTCAGAATGGCTTCAGTTCTTTCCACTTGATTTGTAGAAGAAAAGTCCTGCTTTTCTGTCAGTACCTATTATTGAGAATTCTTGGTACTCTCTTTTAGCATTTCATTAAGAATTTGGGTTTTTTGGTTAATCAAACATTTGCTTTCAGTTATGGTTAACCAAGCAGCTGCTGTATTCCAAAGTCAGAATTTAAATGTTTACACTCTTGAAATTAAGACTACGTAAGGTACAGGTCAGCCCTCCCTTGAATCTCAGCTGTGTACAGATTAAGAGGATTTTTAGAAAGACCTGCCTTTCCTTCCCGCACAACAGAACAGTAACTTGGGCTCACCTCAGCTTGTCTCCAGAGGAAGGTTCTCTTAGCTAAATTTTGCTGGTTCTGAGTTATGTTGCTGTTAATTATTATTACATTTTGTCATGTTAATCATTGGACCGTCCACCAACTAGTCTTTTGCTGCTCCTATTTTTGAGACTGTGGTATCATTACATGAGATAGA